AAATTGATTCTTGGAGTATGGAAAAAATAGACCCATGTATCATTCCACAGCATCTGTTGATATCAACCAACACGTCAACACTTTAAATGAAGAAATAGTTTTCTAAGATCTACGGAGATACTTGCAGGAACAAATGCTCGACAGTGGCACTGAAGAAGGGAAAAATCATTGAAAGTGAGGGCATAAATATGCCCAATTGCCAAACAATCATGTGTCACCAGCCAGAGGCCTATAAATATCTGGGCATACTACAACTGGACAACATCAAACGAACATGTGAAAACTGTGGTCAGCCAAGAATACATTCAAAGAGTCAGAAAAATTCTCAAAAGCAAGCTCAATGGAGGCAACACCATCAAGGCCATAAACACCTGGGCCATACCTGTCATAAGATACACTGCTGGCATCATAAAGTGGATGCAGGCAAAACTGGACAATTTGGACAGAAAAACAAGAAAACTCATGACCATTCATAATTCATTACATCCTCGCAGTGATGTTGACCGGCTCTATCTGCCTCGAAAGTCTGGGGGCAGCGGACTCTTACAAGTCAAACAAGCAGTCGAAGAAGAAAAACACAATGCCCTGGCAGAATATGTCAAGGAAAGCCAAGACCCTGCTTTGATTGAAGTCAATAGTTGGAAACTTCTCAAAGCACAGCAGACAAAGAGTCAGTACAAGAAAACTGCACTCCAAACCAGAGCTGAGAGCTGACACAACAAAGCCTTACATGAACAGTTGCTTGAGAAGATTGAAGGAAAAGTTGACAAGGAAAAGACCTGGTGATGGCTCACGAATGGAAGCCTGAAGAAGAAGGAGACAGAAGAAGGCGTGATTCTTGCAGCCCAGGAGCAAGCCATCAAAACACATGCAATTCAGGCCAGGATTGAAAAATCAGCGGATGACCCAAAATGCAGACTGAAGGAAGCTGATGAAACCATGGATCATCTCCTCAGCTGCTGCAAGAAAATCGCACAGATGGACTACAAACAAAGACACAACTCTGTGACTCAGATGATTCACTGGAACTTATGTCACAAGGACCACCTGCCAGCAGTAAAGAATTGGTGGGATCATAAACCTGCAAAGATCATGGAAAATGAACATGCAAAAATACTGTGGGACTTTCGAATCCAGACTGATAAAGTTTTGGAACACAATACACCAGACATCATGATTGTGGAAAGGAAAAAAGTCTGGATTATTGATGTCGCCATTCCGGGTGATGGTCGCATTGAGGAAAAACAACAGGAAAAACTCAGCCGCTATCAAGACCTCAAAATCGAACTGCTTTTTAAGTCTCTTCTGCATAAAACAGTATAGGTGGTCCGAGTAGTCATTGGCACACTGGGTGCTGTGCCAAAAGATCTCAGCCGGCATTTGGAAACAATAAACATCGACAAAATCCCGATCTGTCAACTGCAAAAGGCCACCTGACTTGGATCTGCGCGCGTCATTTGAAAATACATCACACAGTCCTAGACGCTTGGGAAGGGTTCGACATGTGATCCAGTGATACGAAATGCAGCATATCATTCTCGTTTGCTTTTGTGTCAGTAAAATAATAATAATTTATCTAGTCTTTTTATTCATTCTTGGAGTATGGAAAAAATAGACCCATGTATTATTTCACAGCATGTGATGCTATCAACCAGAACGCCAACACTTTAAATGAAGAAATAGTTTTCTAAGATCTACAGAGATACTTGCAGGAACATCTCAGCAATCAAGAGTCCAAAGTGGCAGGCTAAAACCTAGAAGCTCAATCAGTGGCTGAGATCGGATGAGAGACTCCCTCCTGGGCACACAGAAGACACAGCAACTTGGAATGAACTGAACAGACTGTGCTCTGGCACCACAAGATGCAGAACCAACCTTAAGAAATGGTGCCACAAAGTAGAGTCCACAACATGTGAGTGTGGAGAAGAGCAAAGCACAGACCACCTACTGCAGTACAACCTGAGCCCTGCCACATGCACAATGGAGGACCTTCTCATAGCAACACCAGAAGCACTCCAAGTGGCCAGCTACTGGTCAAAGGACATTTAGTATAAGGCCAAGTTTTTAAACTCTGTGTTTTTTTTAAAGTACATTACAACTGTATCCTCGGTTTGCTTCTGATCTATATAAATAAAAAAGTAATGTTAGTTTGTGGGATTAACTCAAACACCACTGGACAAATTAACACCAAATTTGGACACAATACATCTGTCAGGCACAGTGAAGACATCTGCCGTTGTGCTATGCTACTCTGCTGCTGAGTATGCATGCCCAGTGTGGAACACATCTCACCACGCTAAAACAGTGGATGTGGCTCTTAATGAGACATGCCGCATTATCACGGGGTGCCTGCGCCGTACACCACTGGAGAAATTACACTGCTCAGCCGGTATTGCACCACATGACATCCGCTGGGAAGTAGCAGCAAATAGTGAAAGGACCAAGGCAGAGATATCTCCAGCTCATCCCCTGTTTGGGTATCAGCCAGCACATCAACGACTTAAATCTAGAAATAGTTTTCTAAGATCTACAGAGACACTCGCTGGAACACCTCAGCAAGCGAGAGTCCAAAAGTGGCAGGCCCAAACCCAACACCTCAATCCATGGGTGATACCAGATGAGAGACTCCCCCCTGGGCAGACAGAAGACTGGGCAACTTGGAAGGTGCTGAACAGACTGCGCTCTGGCACCACAAGATGCAGAGCCAACCTTCAGAAATGGGGCTACAGGGTGGAATCCTCGGCATGCGAGTGTGGAGAAGAGCAAACCACTGACCACCTGCTGCAATGCACCCTGAGCCCTGCCACATGCACAATGGAGGACCTTCTTGCGGCAACACCAGAGGCACTCCAAGTGGCCAGATACTGGTCAAAGGACATTTAACCAAATACCAAAATTGCAAAATCTATGTGTTTTTTTCCTTTTTCTTTCCTTTTTCTTTTTAATCTGTGTGTTTGTTTTGCTCTGTTAGAATTGTAATACAATGGTTGCTGATGACACGATAAATAAATAAATAAATAAATAAATAAATAATCTGTCAGGCCGAGTGACCACCACTCATAAACACACTGAAAAAGGCATCCAAAGAGACTTAAAAAGCCAAAAAAACCCCAAAAAATACATTACAACGTGTGTACAAAACCACATATATACACAAACACACATATATACACATATACACAAATATATACAGAAATAGGGCTGTTGTATATTTTTTCAGGCTATATGGCCATGTTCCCCACCTCCTCCAAGACGAACTGAACCACCTCAACTGGGCTCTCCAGGCCAATGGAGACTCCACCTCAGACATCAGAAGAGCTGCAAGACAACTGAGAAGAAGCCACGAGAGTAAAGATGAAGATCCATCCAGAGGAAAAGTGTTCCTGCCTTACATCAAGGGAACCACTGAGCGCATAGGGAAGCTGATGAGGAAACACAACATACAAACTATCTACACACCCACCAAGAAAATCCAACAAATGCTACGTTCAGCAAAGGACAAGAGGGATCCTCTCACTTCTGCAGGAGTCTACCGTGTACCATGCAGCTGTGGACAAGTCTACAGAGGGACCCCCAAACACAGCAGCATTGCCCAAACATGAATCAAGGAACATGAAAGGCATTGCAGACTACTTCAACCAAAGAAGTCAGGCATAGCAGAGCATCCAATGAACCAACCTGGACACAGCATTTTATCTGAGATCACAGAAATGCTGGACCACTCCAACAACCACCATGTCGGACTACACAGAGAAGCCATTGAAATCCACAAGAAGCATGTGGACAATTTCAACAGAAAGGAGGAAACCATGAAAATGAACAAAATCTGGCTACCAATATTTAAAAAACTCTAAAATTACAACAGCAAAACAACAGAGAGGAAACAACCAGGCACATCTAATCTCAACAAAGTTTGCTTCAGGCACTGCCAGGCCATTATATGCTAATCAAGGTGGTCAGTTGAAACATTCACACCTAACTCCAGCAGACAAGAGTCCTTTCTCCCACACTGGTCAACCCAGTGATTCCGGCCATGAAAGCTTTTGGGAAGTGTAATGTTGGTGGACAGGAAAAGAGTTTTAAAGACGGGCTTAAAGCCAACCTTAAAAACGGTGGCATAGACACTCAGAGAGAACTGGGAAGCCCTGGCCCTCGAGCGCTCTACCTGGAGGTCAGCTGTGACCAGCAGTGCTGCGGAATTCGAAGAGGCTTCACATCCACCTATGGACCCACCACCAAGACACCAAGGACAAACAAGGACATCTAATGTATTGTCGAAGGCTTTCATGGCCGGAATCACTCAGTTCTTGTGGGTTTTTTCGGGCTATAGGGCCATGTTCTAGAGGCATTTCTCCTGACGTTTCGCCTGCATCTATGGCAAGCTTCCTCAGAGGTGAGGTCTGCTGGAGCTGGGGAAAAGGGGGTTTATATATCTGTGGAATGACCAGGGTGAGACAAAAGGCTTTTGTAAGTTGGGCTGGGTGTGAATCTTTCAACTGACCACCTTGATTAGCATACAATGGGCTGACTGTGCCTGGAGCAAACTCTTCTTGAAGGGTGATTAGATGTTAGGTGATTAGGACATCTAATATCAACAAAAGTTTGCTCTAGGCACTGCCAGGCCATTATATGCTAATCAAGGTGGTCAGTTGAAACATTCACACCTAGCTCCAGCAGACAAGAGTCCTTTGTCCCACTCTGGTCATTCCACAGATATATAAACCCTTTTTCCTACTTCCAACAGATCTCACTACCTCTGAGGATGCTTGCCATAGATGCAGGCGAAATGTCAGGAGAGAATGCCTCTGGCACATGGCCATATAGCCCGAAAAAACCTACAATGGTGGGAGTTGAAGTCCAAAACACCTAGAGAGAGGGCCCAAGTTGGCCCAGGCCGGCTGTCCGGGAAGAGTACCGCGCAGGCGCGCTGAGGACCGCCTTTCTGCCTGGAACAATTCACAACTCAAGGCGAAAAGGTGGACACAATGTGACCCGCTCACCTTCCATGATCTCCGAAGGGGAAGCGGGGAGGAAGGCGCCCCAGCCCATGAGCACCCCCAGGAGAAGCATCCAAGGGGGGCAAGCCATGGGGAACGACCCCACGTCCGTCGCGGCTTAACCTTCCTCCCGGAGCTGCAACACCCACCTCGCCATTGCTGGGATTTGCAGCACTTTTGCTTTCGCTTTCCAAGGAGAAGGAGGAGGAGGAGGAGGAGGAGGAAGCTGCACTTGGGCTCGGAGGACAGCACATCTGCACTGTGGAAGGGAGTTGTAGTTTTTCTGGGGTTTGTTTAAGGTGCTGTCCTCCTCCCTGTGGGATGAATGCACATTGGCCTCATGGGAGTTGTAGTTCGTTGACTCACCTGGGCAGAGCAGGTCAAAGTCCTTAGGAAATGACAAACCCCCAAGACCCCATGGCGCTGGGTCCAGGCGTCATTGCCCAGTGAGAGGACTTGGGCAAAGTCCTTGGGAAACTACATCTCCCAGGATCGCAGGGCACCGAGTTTAAATGTCATTCCCCAGTGAGAGGTGTTGGGCAAAGGCCTTGGGAAACTACAGTGAGAGGTCTTGAGCAAAGTCTTTGGGAAACTACTACTCCCAGGATCCTATGGCACTGAGTTCAAATGCCATTTCCCAGTGAGAGATCTTGGGCAAAGTCCTTGGGAAACTACATCTCCCAGGATCCCAGGGCACTGAGTTTAAATGTAATTCCCCAGTGAGAGGTGTTGGGCAAAGGCCTTGGGAAACTACAACTCCCAGGATCCCATGGCACTGAGTTCAAGCACCATTCCCCTGCGAGAGGTCTTGGGCAAAATCCTTGGGAAACTACATCTCCCAGGATGCCATGGCACTGAGTACAAGCACAAGTCCTCTGTAAGAGGTCTTGGGTAAAGGCCTGGGAAAACTACAAATCCCAGGATGCTGTGGCACTGAGTTCAGGTGCCATTACACAGTGAGAGGTCTTGGGAAACTACAACTCCCAGGATCCCATGGCACAGAGTTGAAGCACCATTCCCCAGTGAGAGAACTTGGGTAATGTCCTTGGGGAAACTACAACTCCCAGAATTCCATTGCACTCAGCTTTGTCAATTCAAGTGCTATTCTGGAGTGAAAGGTCTTGAGCAAAATCCTTGGGAAACTACTACCGCAGGATCCCATGGCAGTGAGTTTAAATGCCATTTCCCAGTGAGAGGATTTGGGTAAAGACCTTGAGAAACTTCAACTCCCAGGATGCCATGGCACTGCGTTCTGGCAGTTCAAGCACCATTCCCCAGTGAGAGGTCTTGGGCAAAGTCTTAGGAAACTGCAACTCCCAGGATCCCATAGCGATGAGTTCAACCACCATTCCCCAGTAAGAGATCTTGGGCAAAGGCTGTGGGAAATTACAACGCCCAGGATCCCAGAGTTCTGGCAATTCCAGTGGTGTTAACAGCATCCAAAGACTTTCGCCTTCTCTGGGCAAAGACCTTGGGTAACTACAACTCCCCGGATTCCCATATCATTGAGCCACCACTATCCCAAGTGCATCAATTCCACAACTTAAATGCCAGTCATAGGTGGAGAGGTGTTTTCTGAGCATAGGCAGAGCGCACAGGAGGGAGAGTGTCTAGAGTATCTATTGTGTGTGTGTGTGTGTCCCTTGCCACATGAGTTTTATAGGGATGGAGATATATGTGTGTGTGTGTGTGTAATGTTTGTGGGATTAACATAACTCAAAAACCACTGGACGAATTGCAGCCAAATTTGATCAACAGAAAACACTACAAGAATTTGGTGAGCACTGACCTTGAGTTTGGGAGTTGTAGTTCACCTACATCCAGAGAGCACTGTGGACTCAAACAATGATGGATCTGGACCAAACTTGGCACGATTACTCAAGATGCCCAAGCGTGAAAACTGGTGGAGTTTGGAGAAAACAGACCTTGACATTTAAGAGTTGTAGTTGCTGGGATTTATAGTTCACCTACAATCAAAGAGCATGCTGAACCCCACCAACAACAAAATTGGGCCAAACTTCCCACACAGAACCCCCATACTTAAGGCCATCTGGTCCAACTCCCTTCATCAGGGCAAGAAAACGTAATCAAAGCCCTCCCGACAAAGAGCCATCCAGCCGTAGATATAGATAGATAGGCACCACCTCTAATTCGCAGACTTTGGGAAACTACAAATCTCAGGATTCCATAGCACTAAGCTCTAGCAATTCGATAGGTATCAAACGGCATTCGTTCTCCAGTGTAGATGTTCCTGGTTTGAAAATGTTAATTCCTGTTAAATTATGTGCTACTTAATGTGAAAGTAGTTGCTCTGGTCCTGAAACTGTTTTGGATCACTGATCCAAGGGCCAAACCTGTTATTCAGCTTTGTAATATTCCTCCTAATTATTCTGGGTTGCTTGAAACAGTTTGAGTAGGAAGGAAGGAAGGAAGGAAGGAAGGATGGAAGGAAGGAAGGAAGGAAGGAAGGAAGGAAGGAAGGAAGGAAGGAAGGAAGGAAGGAAGGAAGGAAGGAAGGAGAGAAAGAAGAGAGACAGGAAGGAAGGAAGGAAGGAAGGAGAAGGAAGGAAGGAAGGAAGGAAGGAAGGAAGGAAGGAAGGAGAAGGAGAGAGAGGAAGGAAGGAAGGAAGGAAGGAGAAGGAGAGAGAGGAAGGAAGGGAGGAAGGAAGGAGAGAAAGAAGAGAGAGAGGAAGGAAGGAAGAACGGAAGGAAGGAGAAGGAGAGAGAGGAAGGAAGGAAGGAAGGAAGGAAGGAAGGAGAGAAAGAAGAGAGAGAGGAAGGAAGGAAGGACGGAAGGAAGGAAGGAAGGAAGGAAGAAAGGAAGAGACTGACCTCCTGTTTAAACATTCCAGCCAATCAACCTGGGATGTATCTACTACAATATGAAATGAATGCAATGTAACTGCAATGCAAAGGAATTATAAGGATTGTAGTTTTACAAAGTCCTTCACCTTCTCCTGCCAAAGACAGCTGGTACCCTAGTAAACTACAACTCCCACAATTCCATCACATTAAGCCACAGCAGTTGGCAATGCTATGGGATTAAGGGAGTTGTAGTATTACAAGGTACTTCATCTTCTCTGCCAAAGGGTCCTGGTGCCTTAGCAAACTCCCAGGACCTTATAGCATTGAGCCATGGCAGTTATTGTGGTGTCAAAGTAGCAATTTAGCTTGCATCTACACAATTATTTATTTATAATTTCCAAATTTATATGCCGCCCTTCTCACCCCAAAGGGGACTCAGAGTGGCTTACAATATTACAATATTACATTAATATATATGTAATGTTCAATGTATTGTTGAAAGTTTTCATGGCCGGAATCACTGAGTTGTTGTAGGTTTTTTTCGGGCTATATGGCCATGTTCTAGAGGCATTCTCTCCTAACGTTTCGCCTGCATCAATGGCAAGCATCCTCAGAGGTAGTGAGGTCTGTTGGAACTAGGAAAAAAGGGTTTATATATCTGTGGAAAGACCAGGGTGGGACAAAGAACTCTTGTCTGCTGGAGCTAGGTGTGAATGTTTCAACTGACCACCTTGATTAGCATTTGATGGCTTGGCAGTGCCTGGGGGAATCTTTTGTTGAGAGGTGATTAGATGTGCCTGATTGTTTACTCTCTGTTGTTTTGCTGTTGTAATTTTAGAGTTTAGAACATGGCCATATAGCTCGGAAAAACCTACAACAACCTATGTAATGTTCATTTGTGGGATTAACAGAAAGCAAAAACCACTGGACGAATTGACACCAAATTTGGACACAATACACCTATCAGGCCAACGAGTGACCATCACTCATAAAAACACTGAAAAACACAGCCTAAAACACACATATATATACACAAATATATATACACACACAAAACACATATACACAGACTGGGCCACAGGAACGCATTGCAGGAGACAGCTAGTGTATGTATATTTGTGTGTGTGTGAATACACACACACACATATACATACATATACATATACATACATATACATACACACACACACACACACATATATATATATATATGAGATAAAGAGAAGTGGGTCAGGGGAGATCTTTAATGAATGCCCCCACCCTGTATATAGACTTTATGACAAATGATAAACATATTATTATTAATACATAATTATATTATTTTATCTCATTATATATTCATATTAAAATACATCTGATTGTTTCGAAAGCCTAATGAGAAATGTTTTGGATACTAGGGGTGCATCTACACTGTAGAATTAATGCAGTTTAGGCACCAATTTAAGCACTGTGGCTCAATGCTATGGATCCTGGAAGGTGTAGCTGGATGAGGCACCAGCACTCCTTGGCAGAGAAGGCTCAAGTCCTTGCTAAACTACAAATTCCAGGAATCCATAGCAATAATTCTACCGTGTAGACACACCCCAAGGTTTTTGTAATCTTCTAGGAATCAGACTCTTCGAGATTGTTGCAAAGACCGCCTTTATAATGGCCTGTGTGTATATATGCAACCACGCGGAAACTGCTTTTGGCGGGTTGTCATACGCGTGCGGAGGAAGCCATTTGTCACTGTAGAGAAAACAATATAACATCAGCAGTCCGGGAATGCAGCCAAGCCAAGTCATCCTAATAGCGTGACTGATGGTTAACGCTGTTGCTCGTTGTCTGCCTTCCTTGGCTGGTGTCATTCCTTCCTTCAGTCTGAACAGGTTTTTTTCCTTTTTGCCAAGCAGATGTTACATTCCTCAAGGGGAAAATAAAAATACAGATTGAGTTAACACAATGCAGAAAAACAAACAAAAAACCCGCCAAACACAGTAATACACAACAGTATGTGTCACATTTTTTGTTTCTGAGTTATAAATGTCATTTCCTGATTGGTTCTATTGTAAAAACATGGGAAAAGTTGATTAAATTGGAAAAAACTTTGTTTTTGTGGGACATCTTGCAGCACATTTATATAGTTTTTCATCAAGTCTCAAATAATTCAACTACAATGCTACGTCTCTGTGATTGTTTCAAAGCTTCTTGTTTTCTGCTGCCCTGGAGACTAGGACCCAGAACAATGGCTTCAAACTACAAGAAAGGAGATTCCATCTGAACATTAGGAAGAACTTCCTGACTGTGAGAGCCGTTCAGCAGTGGAACTCTCTGCCCCGGAGTGTGGTGGAGGCTCCTTCTTTGGAGGCTTTTAAACAGAGGCTGGATGGCCATCTGTCAGGGGTGATTTGAATGCAATATTCCTGCTTCTTGGTAGAATGGGGTTGGACTGGATGGCCCATGAGGTCTCTTCCAACTCTTTGATTCTATTCTATGATTCTATGCCTTAGTTACCTCCAGATTGGACTACTGTAATGCACTCTACGTGGGACTGCCTTTGAAGATGGCTCGGAAACTGCACAGTGCAAAGGTCAACAGGAGGGTTGACCGCTCCTTGTAATTTGCTCCAGTTAATAACCTGTCCGTTGACCTTTGCACTGTG